AAATTTTATTTTTTAATCCAATTTTCAATATATTTACTTCTTCAGGACTTTAAGAACGACTTTTTCCACCTACTGTGACTGAATGAAGACCTTCGCTTCCAGCCAATCTTAATGCTACAACTAGGACTCCAGGCAGCATGTATGATATTATAGTTGAAGGTGTCAAATGACTAAACTTTGCTTTACTGTGTTTTTTGACATAACAGTGAGTATCACCTCAAAACTGCTTGTTTTCAAGGGAACTAAGGAAGAGAAGACATAGCTATGATTAGCATAATATAAACACATTAACACAGTGAAGCTGGAGGATGAACGCTAACTTTTTTCCACTTCATAACAGTTAATGTGAGGGTTCCTGGTGGTCAGGGACAAATGCAATCGCATAGCAGGACGCTGTAAACAGACCAAACTTCAGTCAGAAGAACAACTGAAATAATCCATCCACAATACGTCATTAATTTACTGCTGCATGGGCTGGGCTGTAGTTACATCGTGAGGTTTTAAAAACTGAGCTTTACAATGAACAGTGGTAATAAAACCAAGAGGCCGACGGTGATCACTGCAAGATACAAAGCATTAAAACACGTTAAAAACAAAACAGCCTTAATAAACACAAAATAGTTTGGACCTGGAAGCAGGGTTCATCACGTCATCACTTAAAGACCGGATAGCAACTTTCATACACAGCTATGCTACCACCTAGCATGCTTCCAGCTCACCCTGGCCAGATATAACTGAAGTTATTTGTTCTAATAAAACAGACAGCACTAGTAAAGTTACATGTACAGTTTCTATGGCAGCAGGGATTTTGCCATTTAATTTATCATGAAATGACTTCAAACTAGAAAAAAAAACAAAAAAACAAAACGGTCCCCACAACTTTGGGTTGGAAGAATAAGAAACAAAAATTCTTGCCTTACTCAAACCTTAAAGAAGAAGCACTTGGAGCCCAAACCTCAGCTCACTCTCTGGGCAGTATTGACTTTTATGGCAGAAGTATTGTATTTCCTATAGAGTCATCTTGTTTTCTTTGATCTTTTTAAGCACAATTTAAGACATTTGTAGAGCAGTAAGAACCAAAGGGCAGGCTTTTGTTATTTGCCCTGTTGAAATCGATTTGAATATACTGGACATCATTTTGAGAAGAGTTATTTTTTAATTAGATGGAGAAATAAAGACAAAGGCAGATGTGAAATGGAACAGTGTTATTAGAGATCAAATGCAAACTATAATGTGATATTTAGAATCCTCATACATCGTTCCCTGTATGCCTGCATGCTGTCTGGTATTAAGACACATAGTTTTAAATACCTTTGTGTGACTTTATTATCACTTTGACCAGATCGATCTACAGACCTTAAAGGGGAGTTCAGAGGTCAAATGACATTTTAAATCCTTAGATGGCACTTTTTATATGTTGACAATGTACAAAGCACAGTTGAAAGGATCATAGTTTCTAGGTTATAAGCAAATATATTATTACGTTGACCTTGAAGAACTTTGTTGATGTAAGCCAAATTTTAATGGGTTGTTAACATGAGCCCACTCTACACCCCTACAAAGTTTTATCAGAATTCATTCAAATCTTTTCAAGCTATATTTGGTAACATTGGCATGTCTTTTCAAGACAGTAGTCATAGCAGCACTAAGGCTGTTTATGCAGGCTATTTAAACTTCAAAAAATTTCAAAAACGGGCAAGCAGCTGATTAAATTAGAACATTAATGCTGCTGCTGCACAGTTGGTGTGGTTGGTATGTTTTTTTGGGCTGGTGGGAACAAAAAAGCCCCCAGAAAAATAGCCAAGAGTAGTTAGCAGCGTGTGGATCCACTGAAAGGGAAGTTTCCACAGTATCTTTCCTGTAATGCTGCACAGGATACTGCCCGTTTGTTATTATTCATAACAGTAAATTATTCATAACATCCAGTGAAGTTGCAGCCTAGCTAGTGCGATAACCCTTGTAATCATTTATGTCTATAAGCTTTTTATGATACCAGAAAAAAATAAATACACATTAAAGGCATTAGAGGCACCGGGAACTGGTGTCCATCACTGGAATTACATTGCTCCTGATGACGTGGGAGACTCTCAGTGGTAAAATACATCCTGTAAGAGTTGAGTCACATGATGGAAATGCTCTGCACCAGCACTTCTTTGTAGTCTGTATTTTTCTTGTGTATTTATTGTTTTGATATCTAAAGTAAACGGACTGATTCTTATATAGCACTTTTCGTAGTACTCAAAGTGCTCTTTACAACATGCCACATTCACCCAAGCACTTTCTCTATAAATAGTGCTTTCAAAGTACATTCACACTCCAATGGATGCATTGGAGAGCAACTTGGGGTTAGCACCTTGCCCAAGGATACTTGATATGAAGACTGGAGGAGCCAGGGATCGAACCACCAACCTTCAGATCAGTAGATGACCTGCTCTACTTTCTGAGCTACAGTCATGTCAGGTTTAGAAAACAAATGTGTTGTTCCTACCTACTGTGGATTAAAATGAACCTGTATGGCTAATACAGACATGCATTGTGAGTGTAAGTGTTAATGTATATAAAATAAACATAAACATGAGAATCCAGGGATTGACTCAGATTTGGTCTCCACGGGTAGCTCGAGGTACCTCAGTCATCATCTCTGATCAGTTCATCGTTGTTCACAGTTTGAAAAAACTACAGTAGGGTCAGAGCTGGCACACGCAATTAACAGTCCACACACTCTTATCCTTGCTTACAGTACTCTGTTTATAGTAACCATTGCCCTTAATGTAAATATGTAAGAAAAAAATTGTTTCTGTCCTGTGTACTGTTTGTTTGTATATGTGTCTTTCTGGCTGGTGTTACAACCAAATTTCCCCTTGTGGGACAATTAAAGGATTATTCTATTCCTTTCACTGTGTCTCTCCCAAACATTAGACATGTGACAGCAAAAACAAGCAGACCTGGTTAAATAATGCGCTACACAAAGTGTGCCCTGTCACTTCTGAGACTGTGAACGCTTTAGCAGGCCGTGGCTCTTCATCAAACCTTCTTCCGGGCTTTTCCCTTTTCTGTTCTCACTGTGCTCGACAGGTGCGAGGCCTTACAGTCAATATTTACAGACATGATCTTAAAGGTCATTGATGATGTCATTTGACATTTCACTTTCACTTCACATAGCTTTTAAAGGATCCACCGGGATTGGGGGAATTATGCGTCCGAGTGGCCCGGCAGCAATTTTGCATGTTTTACAAATTGTTGTGAAATGAATGATTTGTGTTCAGAGTCAGTGTGATAATTTGTGAGGCGCTACAGCAGAATTTGTGCTGGTGGCAATTTTGTCTGCACTAATAAACTGAGGCGGCTTACAGTTCACAGAGGAACAAGAACCAAGCTGAAGAACTTTGACTTTTATTTATTTTGTGTTTATACTTAATAACAATAATAATAATAATGATAATGGAAAGTGGATAGTGTGGTTTGGGTCACAAAAAATAGACTCTGCATTGAGTCATATCCCACCTTCTGTAACCTCCGTGGCTAATCATGCAGGCTAGTGTGGCGCGCTCAGAGTTGATTAACTTTATTCAGGCAGGCAGGTGCCAGCTGAACACCTGAGCACGCTGCAGTCATTGCTCATGCATACAAAAGGCACTGGGTTTCTCCTGAGTGCCTTTATGCTGTTGCACTGACTCAACAGCTTAAAATGTCAGTCGAAGCCGCCGCTAAATATCTGCAAAGGTTGAATATTCCAAATGTTAATGGTGTGGAAAAGGTACAAAAAATCAAAGTACAAAGAGAGTAGATAAATAATGTTTGATGTGAAGGCTCCAGCAAAGTTTGCTTCTGTGCACGAGTGAAGAACAAATGTCTGCCAACAGCACCCACAGAGCGCGTCGAACCGTTCTCCGAGCATCTCACTCCTGCAGCCAGCCTACAAAGCTGAAACTGTTAGGGCTCCGTCTGTCTGATACGGTCTGAACAATGTTTAATAATTTCCTAATTGCGTCAGACCCTGCTGGTTTTATTTCAAAATACAAACAGGAAGTGCTCGTGTTTCTTCTTTGCTCTGAAGAGGAAATGGGCTTGGCAAAAGGCCACAGGACTCAAAACAAGTCTCATAAAATTTCATGTGTGGAAGATTTTACGAAAGAAGGTGGTGCAGTATGTAACCTGTCTACTGATGACTTCATTTGAATTGTCATGTTGACTGAAGGATTTTGGAGTCACTAGTTCATCATCTAAAACTTAGGTTTCTAGCAGTATTGAAAATAAATCATTTTGTAGAAATAACATAAAAATTGTCTAATGAAATTTTCTTTGTATCATTTTTGATTTTCATTAACCTGTCAGTAATGACATTAGATCATGAATATATCACAGATGAAGGAAAAGACCTGATAAGTCATTAAAAATATTCTAGTAACAAATCTTATGGATCTTATTAATTGCTAATATAGATTTACAGTTTGAGGGTAAAAAGCTCCACTGTGGACTGGAACTGGTTTTGCAACATTTCTCATCTTGCTTTTTGCATCTACTTAAAAAAAAGAATAGTTACCAGTTCTTTGGTGAAATTAGAATACCTGCTGAGTAATGCAAGCACTCCCATGTGTTGGTGCATGTGTGGTATTTGCAAAGTGCTCCAAAGACGATGACGACGATGATGATTATAAGAGTTTATCGGGGAAAACGTCTGTGCTGACTCACTGGTACTCTTTAATATTTAAGAGGACAATTCAAAAGAAAATGTCAGAGCAGAGTAAAGAGTGCACATTTAGAAATCACTCAAAGACTGTATTTCAGTTTTGTGAGTCCCGGTAAGAATTAAAAGCCTGCCTGTAAATGCATTTGTGAAATTCATGTGAGGAAAAGAAGTTTCATTATGTTCATTATGTGCAAATATGTGTGTTAATATAAAAATTTAAAAGATATTTATGTTAAAATTAGGAAATTCCGGCTGCAAAGTGTGTGTGTGTGTGTGGGGGGG